ATATCTAAAAATGTGACTCTTTTTGTATGATTTTAATTTTATCAAATAAACCTGCTAAAATAATTGAAATAAAGGTTAAAATATGTAGATTAAACTTAAAATTATTAACAACTGAAAAGTATTAAAAAATCTCAAATATAGTTAAAAATTAGGTGCTCACATTCTTAACAGCTTTTATTCGGTCCTTCTGGTTATCTGCCCAGTCATGCTCATTTTCAATCCTTGCAGAATGTTTACCGGGTCAGGAACATCAATGGGATCGATTGACATATTCTATCTGTGGTTTCGAGATTGTTTCTCCACTGAAAATCAAAAGTAAAAATGGAGCATTAGCCTCAGAACTTGATTTAATCATAGCAAGAAAATCTACCAAAGTCGCAGGTACACTTGAGCGTGTGGGAGGTGTTTTCTTAAAGAGAGTAAATATCTAAATGATAAAACTTATATACACTCACAACATTATCGCTGAAGATTAATCAATTGGAAGATGTTACTTAAACTTATTACTCATAAGGCAATTGTAATGATGCAGTTAAAGGGAAGTGATAAAGCGACAGGGTAAGGTGCAAAAAAAGTGTCCAAGGTGTACAGTGATTTTGTATAGCAGTCAGAGTGAAGTTAGCTAACTTAACTAGATCAGTTAGACATTTAGTTAGCTTGTAGTTAGATGTACAAATGTTCTCAATTAGTCAGTTAGTGTAGTTTTTGTATCATTATCTCCAGCTACAAATGAACTAGGATTTTACAAGGAAGATGTCCAAAAGAAAATAATGATCCAGTGTTTCATAATTAATTAATAGGAACGACACAATTATATCTCTCTTGGATTATGATTTATGAACAATGTGGCGAAGGAACTTCTCACAAGCATTCTCTATGTGTCCGATTCAAGTAGAGTTTGGAATGATTTACGGAAAGGTTTTATAAAGTGAATCGATCCAGGATATACTTTATTCAAAAAGAGATTGAGACTTTATATCAAGGTGTTTCCACTGTCTCCGACTACTATAACGGACTGGGAGATCTATGAGATGAATCGGTGCTTTAATGCCAAATCCAGCTTGTGCATGACCAGAATCTAGAGTGTATTCAGATCACATGCAGCAGCAGAAATTGTTTCAATTTCTCATGGGATTAAATGAATCCTACTCACAACCTAGAAGTCAAATTAATCCTGATGATGGTTCCGCTGCCCACTGTCAATCAAGCATATGCCATGATAAATTTCAGATGAGAGTCAAAGAAAAATAGCTGTAGCAGCTCAAGGAGAAGGAGGAGTGAATGAAGCTACAACACTCTTCTGAAACACTAGGAGGACTCGGCCCCCGTAATTACAAGCAGAAGAAGAAAAATTTGCAACGCGACTACTGCATTTCAAAGGATGCACTAGCGACAATTGTTACAAGTTACATGGATACTATGCAGATCTCAAATTCAAGAAGGGGGTAGGAGTAACAACAAATCAAGCAACACATGCAGCTAATCAGGTAGCAACTACTGTCGAAAATATGAATATGCAGGAACATCAAGATTCAATAAAACAAGGAGTTCCAGCACCATTTTTCACTCATGAGCAATACAGACAGGTAGATCATCCTTTATGTCAGTAAGTGAAAGAATTGAATGCATACTAAATACAGGGCTTCTAATCACATGACATCTAGCTTGAATATTTTAAGGAGATATAAGAGTTCAAAAACAGGAAAAGTATTACAGTAGCTATGGCTAAAAATTCTCACATAGGATGCTCATTATTGTATGAAATTTCTTAGAACAGATAATAGGAAGTCACTAACACTCAGTTTCAGCATTTACTCAAGGAATTTGGCATCATTCGTGAGAGATCATGTATGTATACCCCATAATAAATACATTCTTGACACTGCTAGATCACTTGGGTTTCAATCATCACTCCCTTTGAGATTTTGGGGCAATTGTGTCAATACTGCAATTACACAAGTTATTATTTAGAGTTTTGGCTGGTTGTGTTATGCAATAAACTTAAAGAAGAACAACAAGTTCTCTCAAAGGGCATGCAAACTCAACAGTTTTTTATGGGATATTCAAACACACAAAAAGGATATAGACTTTATGATATACAAAACAAGCATTCTTTACTTACTAGAGATATTTTGTTTCATGATATAGCTCGAAATTTGAAGCTTACTGGTACTTTGCAACATCTAGGGATTTGTTTAGAGTCGCTATATATGACTAATCATGAGTGAATTCAAACGTTGCAAACACTGAGGCGAAATTCAAAACGCTACCTGTGGATTAGAGATTCATAGAGCAGCTTAAATTAATAGAAGTAGCGCTTTCAGACACTAGGCCATTCTATAGAAGCTGATGTAGCTGCATTTCACGGACAGCTGTCCTAAGTTTCTCTGCAATTATTCACTGCTATCTAGTTTGACTTGACACCGAGTTTAAGAAAAAAAAATTAAAACTTATGATTTTAAAAATTTAAGGGGTAAAAGCTTTGTGGGCTCATAATATTTGTGTGGTTATAAAAGCTTCTCATTAAGGGTAAAATGAGTAAAATGAAGAATTTAAAGTTGAATTATTTCCAAATTTAAAAATATGTCATTTATTTTAGAACAAACTAAAAAAGAAAGTATTTCGTCTAAGAAATGCCAGTGTCGAAGGGAAATGCACACCTGAAAAACGATCCTTTTTTTTTTTGTCTAAACTAGGTTCAATAAGGCAACGATCACTTTTAGTCCGCGACCGAAATTATTTATTTTCGATAGTATATAACATACAGAAATATATATTATACAAAAAATATATATATTCTGACTATTATTTTGCGAGCGGTTATACAATGTTATTTTCCCCTTAAACTAACTAGTATTTATACCCGCACGTTGCGCTGAGAATATTTTGTAGTATCTTGATATTTGGCTTAATCTTACGAATAATAATTTTTTTGTCCAAAATTGCTAAGTGATTTTTTATTTTGCCTCTCTTCTTATTATGTATAGATAACATAATATATAATATATAGATACCTCCTTTAATATAACATAGATAATATAGATTTCTTATTTCGTTTAAATATATATATATATTATTTTGTATAAAATGTATCAATATATTTTTTACATTATATGGAATAAGCAATTATACTTTTCTTCTATTTTATTTTCAATATAAAGTTTTAATTTTTACATTTTTTACTTCGTCCATAATATATATTCTTTTATTATTTCGTATAAAATGTATCAATATATTTTTTACATTATATGGAATAAGCAATTATACTTTTCTTCTATTTTATTTTCAATATAAAGTTTTAATTTTTACATTTTTTACTTCGTCCATAATATATATTCTTTTATTATTTCGTATAAAATGTATCAATATTTTTAGAATTTTTTTCTACATTCTATGGAATAAGAATTAGACTTTATGATAAATAATGCATAATTTAATTTTATTAAAATATAAATTCAAAAAGAACCTAACTATTAACTAATCTAACTAACTCTGTCCTAAAATTGCGAAGTTATTTTTTCTTATGTTGCGACTTAGCTTACTATGGTATCTTTAATTACTTCTCCTATTATATATANAGATAGATTATATGGGATAAGCAATTAGAATTTTCTTCTATTTTATTCTCAATATAAAGTTTTGATTTTTATATTTTTTCACTATGTTGCTTGTAATTATTTCAAATTCAAATTAGACTTTTCTTCTATATTTAAATTCAAACTCAAAAAGAGTAACTAATTATTAATAATAAATAATGCGTATCATTTTTTAAAATTTAAATTCAAAAAGAAACTAATTTTTACCCAACCTAACTAACTTTGTCCTAAAATTGCCAAGTGACTTTTTATTATGTTGCCACTTGGCATAC